ATTTATAATCTGCAAGAAAGGAAATTGAATGCAAGAACAATCAGTGGATATTTCATTAGTTACTCCAGAAAAATAAAAAAAAGGTATATGTTTTACTGTCCTACTCATAATATAAGAATTGTTGAAACTGGATACTTGGTTCATTGAAAATGGTGAAACCAGTGGGAGTGAAACTTCATGAAATGTGGAGATTAAGGAAGTTAAAGTACAAGTTCTTGTAACTAGTACATCTTTTTCAAGAGTTGTTGTTCCACATGTTGTAGAACCACAAGACAATCAAGAAAAATAACAAATTAATGATCCCGAGATTAACAATGAGTCGATATTAGAACAACCACAATAAATAGTATTAAGAAGATCTCACAGATAAAGAAAGTTTGCTATTTCGAATGATTACGTGGTTTATCTACAAGAGTCAGAAAATGACCTAAGTATAGATAATGACCCAGTTTCATTTTTAGACGCCATTAATGGTGATAATTCTGACAAATGGTTAGATGCTATGAAAGATAAGCTGGAATCAATGACACATAATGGTGTATGGGATATTGTGAAATTGCCAGAATAATGCAAGAGTGTTGGGTGTAAATGGGTCTTTAAGACTAAGCGTGACTCTCATGATAATATCGAACGTTACAAGGTCCGACTTGTTGCCAAAGGTTTTACTCAAAAATATGGATTTGATTATAAAAAAACATGTTCACCTGTTTCTATAAAAGATTCTTTTAGAATTATGATGACATTAGTAGCTCATTATGATCTTGAGTTGCATTATGGATGTTAAAATTGTCTTTCTGAATGGAGATTTAGAGGAGGATATTTATATGCATCAACTGATGGGGTTTATTAAAGAAGGAAGAGAGCATATTGTGTGTAAACTTAAGAAATCAATATATGAACTTCAATAAGCTTATCGACAATAGTATCTTAAGTTCAATGATACAATTCTGTCCTTTGGATTTAAGAAAAACACTATTGATCAGTGTATATATCTAAAGATCAGTGGGAGCAAGTTTATATTTCTGATTCTGTATGTTGATGATATCTTACTTGTGACTAATGATCTTGATTTTTCACCTAATGAATAGAGTGACTTCCTTGATTTTTCACTCTAAGAAGTTTCTCTCTAACAACTTTCTTTTTAGCTCCTTGATTTTTCACCTGATGAATAGAGTGACTTCCTAAGTTCTTGAGTCTGGTCTCCTCTTGGACTAACATAATGTGCAATTCATGAACATTCCACTTGTCTTTCATGGTATTATAGTTCATTTAGAACGAACCATACCTAAGCGGTAACAAGTTCAAAATGAACTGCATAAGAAAAAAAAATTTCACTACCATTCCAAGAGACTTGAGTCTTGCTGCGATATTTGTCATTTCGATTACGTGTTCATGCATACTATGAGAACCATCAAACTTCATGGTCATCAACATACTCATCAATGTCTCAGCGAGAGATTTGTCAGCAGTTTGAGAGCGCTCTTCCACAAATTTCATAAACTCCTTCGCATTCTCAGTTTTAGGAAGAACAGACTTAATATTGTTTGTTATACTCATTCGCATAAACATAAGACTAAGTTTGTTTGATTTTTCTCAAGCTCTATAATGAGTTTTCTCTTCATTGCTACTAACATCAGTGATAGCAGCCGACTTTTCAACTTGGAAAGCCAAATCAAGATTCAACGCACCTAAGTGAAATTAGATTTGTTCACTCCAGTCAGGGAAATTTAATCCATTAAAGATTGGAACAGACAAAAAAAAGTGCATGTAGATCTACAGGAACAAATATTGATATTAACGCATGCATAACATTAACGTTTTGAGTCATAAAAATTAACAATAAATACAGATTCAACTATAAATAATCATTCTATGCATAATAATGTTCTCCATTGGGAGATATACTAATACACAAATATAATTACGTTAATCATTTTATAACATTAATGATAATTAAAATATGCATCAACTAGAATCACCCAATACCTTTGGGTATATAAATAAAACTAGTGACACACACAAAATTATCCACCTTTATGCTCATTAATTATAATAACAATTAATCAACCTTTGGGTGATATTGAAATGCCTGATACTAATGAACTTCAATTAACTCATAAATTAATTATTCATAATTTTAGCGTTCATACTATGGGTAATTGAAATAAAATAATTAATAATTTGAAATCAAAATAACCTTAAAATTTTAACCACTTTACCATACTTAATTTCAAATAAATAATATCTTTAATTGCTATTAAAGATTCATAGCATTTTATTATTATTTTTAATAAATATGTACATTATTCACATAATAAAATATTATGTGTCATAAATAAAATTGAAACCCATAATTTCAATTTCCATTATAAGATTGATTTTCAATCCTAAGACATTTATTTTATTGAAATTGTCAATTCAAAATTTTTATGTGCAACTTATAGTAAAAATAATTCAATTCAATTTACAAAACAAAATTTGCAATTAAGACATTTATATACGAACACATCCTATAACAGTAACAAACGTAAAGTAAAATGGGAACATCCCATGACAGTGCATTATTAGCAGTCATTTATTACATGTATTATATGAGTACAAAATAATAAGTAGATCTAAGGTAACTACTATTCAATACCAAAAAAGTCTCCCATAACATGTAATAATCATGCATAATAAAAGGGAACATGATTGTCAATAAAAATATATAAACATTAACTTTACTGTTTACCTTTCTTCCATCATAATTATAACATATATTTCATCATAACTATAACATGCCTCCCAGATCCCAGCGGGTTAGAAATTAAGTCCCCATTTCAGTCTCCGCTCGGAGCGGGCGGGGCGGGTTTTGCCTCTCCGATCCCCGCCCAGACTTTTTAACCATCTCCATCTCCGCCCTCGATCCCCGCCGGGTTAGAAATTAAGTCCCCATTCCAGTCCCGCTCGGTTTCGGATTCCCGCCCCGCCTCGTCCCCGATCTATATTATTTTTAAAAAGATAATTACATTTATAATAAATTAATTTTACTATTTATTCTTTATATATAAATAAATATTTATAATTTATAATTATTATTAATTAAATATACATTTTAATTTATTATATTTATATTAAAATATGTATGTAAAAGAAATATTTAATCATTTTTTATTTATAACATTACTATTATTATTATAACGTTGTATTCAAATATTTGAATATTTATAACATTATTATTATAATACTATATTCAAACATTTGAATATATATATATATATATATATATATATATATATATAAGTTAATTCATTTTTAAGTTGTCATTTAAAAATATGAAATATATAGTATATAAGGAAATATTTAATAAGTTAATTCTTATTCAATTAGTTCGAAGTAATAAAAGTTTAAATTATCAATTCCTTTAATCCTTTAAAATACAATTATTTTATTAAGATAAAATTTGATATATGATAAATAAGAATAATAAGATAAAAAAATATGACATAATAAAACCTAATAAATATAAATTATAAATAAAATAATATTAGTTACTACGAAGATTTATGTAAAATATTTAGAAAAAGATAAAGAATAAAAAAAATTAATTTTGTGTTCATCAAATTGTTGAAAATATTGAAAAAAAAATTAATGGAAGATATTTAGAAAATGTGAAAAACTGAAAGATAAAAGAAAGAATAATGTAATAAATTAATTGATGTAAAAGATTAAAAAAGACAAAAAAATAAAAAAGTGGGTAAAAAAAATGGTGAAATATAAAAACATGACCTTATATGTATGTAATAGAAAAAGAAAAGGAAATACTTTTAAAATATTAATATTTTAAAATTTAAATTTAAATATAAGGTCGGGCGCGGGGACGGGTCGGGGTAAGGATTGCATTACCCATCCCCGCCCCCACCCCCGGTCAATTCGGGTTTTCCCCTTCAAACTCGGGACGAGGACAGATCGATTACGGGATTTAATTGCGATCCCTACATGCAGTGAAACCAAAATTTTTTACCTTCACGTGATTTACCTTTCTAATTAAAATTAATTACGGGTTCATTTACGCATAGAGGCTATAAAATTAGTTTCAATTTGAAATTTATTGTAGCTGAAAACATAAATTAAGGTTTATTCCTTGATTCAATTTTGGAAAAAACAAATTGGGAATAAAGTAGGGTTGATGTTAATCTTATAGAGAAATCCCTAAATTCAAAATTAGGGTCTATCTTAATTTGGGAAAAGCATAATTTGAGAATAACTATCATAAGAGAAAAATAATAAATCTAATAATCATGCTATGATAGCACATGTAAATTAATTTGTAGTTTTCCTACGTTCTTAATTCATTTAGAAAATTACTTTATAGGATCTTTAGATTATTGATTTTCATAATATAACATATCTGAATACATGAATCATAATATGAAGACTAACCTTGTTATTTAATTCCAAACTCCTTTTCCCAATCTATTTTTTTTGTCTTTCTTTCTTTTTTTCACGCCTACGGTACAAAAACTTTGTGACCAGATAAACAAACTATAGTCCCTTTTATTAACCAACATCCATCAAATTGGTTATCATAAATTTTTATTTTATTTTATTCTTATTTCACATAATAACTAATATATTGTTATATTTTATTAAATCACATTTAGATCTATTATTATATTTTTATATGAGTCGCATAATTAATGAATGAATTAAATTAATTCTAAAAAAACTACCATCTACATTTTCTCCCATTAATTGTAACAAACAACTACGTGTAGATTTTTTATTATTATTGTAATTTGCATGATAGCCTACTGCAGTCAACGCGTATAAGCTTGTCTAGTAACAACTAACCAAAAAATGGCGTCTAAGACTGTGGCTGGCCTTAAATGCAGTGGACCAAAGGCCTCCAATCAAATAAAAAGGTGTAGTAAACCCTCTGAACATATGACATGATGATGGCTTACTGAATCAGCAGTATTCAGCATTGTTCTACGGAAGTCAAAGAGTTCGCCAGAATTATGGATTTCACAAGTGTAACACTTGCTTTCATCATAGTTTGCTGTTTTCGTCAGGGCTTGAGTACTGCCAATGATACCATTACATCAGGCCAATTCATTAGAGACCCTCACACTCTGATCTCCGCTAACAGTGTCTTCAAGTTAGGATTCTTCAGCCCTCAAAATTCATCATATCGCTACCTGGGAATCTGGTATCTCTCTGACTCTAATATCATATGGGTAGGTAACAGAAACCAGCCACTGACGAACAACTCTTCCGGGCAAGTTCAAATTTCCATAGATGGCAATCTTGTGGTGTTAGATAGCAACAAAACGGTTCTTTGGTCATCAAATGTGACACGCATTGCAGCCAATTCAACTGCCAAACTTTTGGAGACAGGAAATCTCGTCCTGCTAGATGGTGCCACGGGACAAACTATATGGGAGAGTTTCCAACATCCTAGTCATGCTCTCGTGCCAAAGATGAAATTTGGTACTAACAAAAGAACAGGTGAGAAAGTACGTATAACGTCATGGAGAAGTCCTTCTGATCCTTCAGTTGGGTACTATTCTGTTACTCTTGAAAAGCCCAATACTCCAGAAATGTTTTTCTGGTTGAATGAAACGCGACCGTACCATCGTTCTGGTCCATGGAATAATCAGATTTTTATTGGCTCGCCGGAGATGTCACCTGGTTATCTAAATGGATGGAATATGATTAATGATATAGAGGACGGAACTGTTTATCTTTCTTATAATTTGCTGAATCAATCTTACTTTGGAATCATGTCCTTAAATCCACAGGGTCAAATTGTATGCTCATGGTGGATCAACGAAAAGTTAGTCCAGAGGATGGTGGTGCAAAGAACTCCCTGCGATCTTTATGGCTATTGTGGGGCATTTGGAACCTGTAATTTCCAGAGTTCACCAATATGCAGTTGTTTGAGTGGATATAAGCCCAAAATTGTAGAGGAGTGGCATAGGAAAAATTGGACTAGTGGGTGTGTAAGGAGTGAGCCACTGTATTGTGGGGAACACACAAATGGAAGTGAAGTCAGCAAAGATGCGTTTTTGAAGCTTGAGAATATGAAAGTGCCAGACTTTGTACATTGGTCAGATTCTTTGGAAGATGAATGCAGTGCAGAGTGTTTGGAGAACTGCTCTTGTGTTGCCTACGCATATGACAGTGGCATTGGATGCATGGTTTGGAGTGGAGACTTGATTGACATACAGAAGTTCTCAAGTGGAGGGGTTGATCTTTACATTCGTGTGCCACATTCAGAACTCGGTACGTTTCTTTTTGTGTTACTCTTGTCACGTTAAAACCTAATGCTATGTATGGTTGAAGTTTGGAAAGTATTTGTCATGAATTTCGATGCACAATAATGAATTCCAACCCTCTAAATGAAGAAAAAAATTGTTACTTACATAACAAGACAAAATATTTTTAGACTCGTTCAACTTTAACTCAAACATGTACTAAGATGTTTGACGTGTAATTGTCCAGAAAGACATTCAGATCAAGGAAGAAAAAGGAGACTTATAATTGCAGTTGGACTCGGAGTACCTATAGGAATGATTATTTTGGCAAGCTGCATTTATCTCTCATGGAATTGGACTGATAAATCAACAGGTATCTGTGTTAAATTGTAAAAGTTATTTTGATTCAAGAATATTCACTGTAATTTCAAACTGCAATTAGAAAAGATGAAATGTTTTCTGCCAATTTGAAATTAAGAGATACTGATTTGTGAACCCCTTAAAAATGATCCGAAATCAAGTAGTTGTACAAATTATTCAAATATTTGATTTAGATTTGTGTAAAATCTCTGATAAGTTTACTGTATTGTATTATAATTGAATATTTATCTATTATATATATATATATATATATATATATATATATATATAATATAATATTAATAACTTCCAAAATATTTGATAATATTATTATACTCTAATTTGATATCTCTTTGAACCAGTTTGATTTTGAAATCACCCAAATATTACTCTTGATATGTTTAGGTAATTAATAATAATAGGTGATACCTAAGTGCTGTTAATTTGACTTCTTAATAGAAAGTATTATGACTCGCCACAGGAAAAATATATTCCAAAAGGCAAAGAATGAACAAAGATCAGAAGCAGGACAAGTTGCATCATCAGTTAGCACTTTTTAGTTTTGAAGAACTTGTAGATGCTACAAACAATTTTCACTCGGCCAATGAATTGGGTAAAGGAGGTTTTTTAGTTCTGTGTTCACCTCAATTTTCAAATGATTTGAAGCAATTGAAGCAGTAGAAGATCTATTTTCTTTTTAACTGTCTATTAGGGACAACTGAAAGAAGGACCCGAAATAGCAGTGAAAAGACTTTCAAAAACTTCTGGACAAGGGTTAGAAGAATGTATGAATGAGGTATCAGTGATTTCAAAGCTTCAACATCGCAATCTTGTCAAACTTCTTGGCTGCTGTATTAAACAGGAGGAAAATATGTTGGTATACGAATACATGCCTAACAAGAGTTTGGATGTATTATTATTTGGTTAGTTCCAGTTTCATTTTTATCTGTTCCTGGAAGAGTATCTTAAACAATCTGATACCTTCAATTCTAGAAACTTGGTTATTCAACCCAATTACTATTTTTCTTTCTTCCATATTATTTCACTCCACTTTCGTTTTCTTCTACAGATCCAGTAAAAAAGAAAGATCTAGATTGGCCAAAACGCTTCAATATAATTGAAGGAATCTCTCGAGGTTTGCTTTATCTCCACAGAGATTCTAGACCAAAAATTGTGCATAGAGACTTGAAGGTTAGTAACATCTTGTTGGATGGAGAGCTAAACCCAAAAATATCAGACTTTGGTATGGCCAGAATATTTGGAGGCAATGATATACAGGCCAATACCAGAAGGGTTGTTGGAACATTGTAAGTAGCTCTTCTATATGTTAAGATTATACCATTATACCAAGAGGAAAGCCACTTAACATTTTTATACCTGGCTTAAATGCAGTGGTTATATGCCTCCAGAATATGCATTCAGAGGGTTGGTTTCTGAGAAATTAGATGTCTTCAGCTTCGGAGTCTTGTTGCTAGAAATTATTAGTGGGAGAAAAATTAGCAGCTATTACGGTAGTGACCGATCATTGAGTCTCTTGGGATTTGTAAGCCTTTCTAAATTATTTGGTTTGTTTTGAAAAACACAATTACATGTTGAGAATTACCAATTGATTCTTGTTCTGGTTTTAGGCTTGGAAATTATGGAATGAAAATGACATCCAATCCCTGATAGACCCAGAAATATCTAATCCAAATAATGTGAATGACATTGTGAGATGCATACACATTGGACTTCTTTGTCTGCAAAATCTTGCAAAAGAAAGGCCAATTATGGCTACAGTAGTTCCAATGCTAAATAGTGAGATAGTCAATCTTCCTCGCCCTTCACATCCTGCATTCGTGGAAAGGCCAATTGAATCGAGGGCAGATTCATCTCAACAGATTCACGGAGCACACTCCATCAACAATGTCACTGTCACATATATGCAAGGTAGATAGCAAATTATGAAAAGAAAAAACTCTGGCTAAATATAACCCTCAAGATCTTCAACTTTAAAAACAATAGGCAGTCCAAATCCTGCTCTCATATTTCTCTTCAAAATCTGTAGACTTCGATTTTCTATTTTGATCATTAAACTTAAAGGGGTGTCACCATTTTGAACTTGGTTTTAATATCAATATCAAAGTTTGTTCTCCTGTAACATAGTTGATCTGAAGTTATTATTGCAAACTAAGAGTTACGAGAACTTTGATGTGTAGATGTAAATGCAGAGTTGAGGCTTTACTTTATGGTAGTTCACAAGTATTTGTAAATTCCACAAAGCCTCTTTTTCTGCTGGGAATTGTAATTATCATTTGGATCCCTGGAACCTGAAGTTTCTATATTATACACTTTTCATTGGAATTCTGTGCTATTCTTACAACATTCTGAGCTGCAATAATTTTTGTGTCTCTCACACTCTAACAATTTGTTTTTATTTTCTTTTACTTTTCTTTGATATATTCTCTTGAAAAAAATATAAGCTAAAATTGTTAATTCAAAAGAAGTTAAAAAGATACATAATTTAAATTTTATTCTATTTGATTTTTATTTCCTACTTTAGTAATCACATAACTCATTAAGCATATACATTCTATTTAACTATTATTTTATTTGTTTCAATCATTTGAAGGGAAAGTTTTCACATATTTAAAAAAAAAAAATTATTTTATAAGATTATGGATAAGAACATTAAAAGAGATATCGATTGATTTGATAGTAAGTGGAAGAAATATGAATCAGTGTAAGCGTTTTATTGCACTCAGCAGGGAGACAGTTGAGAAGTTAATAACATTTAATACTATAAAAGCATTTCTTAATCACTTTCTTTCAATATTATAATAATAATAATAATAATTTTATTCTCAAATTATGTTTAATTAATATTTACCTCAGTGTAATTTATTTATTTATTTATTATTATTATTAATATTCACAAACTAACCAGGTAAATACTTTTTTATTATGCATAATAATAATAATAGTTCTCATAAAAAAAGAAAAAACTATTTTATAACCCTTTCTCTCAAACAACCGTTTTTATAACCATTTTTAATAATATAATAATAATTTAAAATTATTTTAATTTTTTAAAATGTTTTTATACTTATTATATTAATAAATTAGGTTGTATGATGGGATTTATTTTTATCATTATTGGTATCAATATATCGGTGTCCTAACCAAAAAAATTCACGCTTAATTAGACGAGAAGTTGTTTTAAATAATTTTAAGTCTATTTTTAACTTTTAAGACTTTTTTTAAATATATCAATTAATAATTAAATAAAAAATATTTTAAAATCTGCAGCAAAAAATATATTTTAAATTAAATTTTTAAATACAAAATTAAATTAAATAATAAATACATTAAAATTTATTATAATATAAAAATATATTATATAAAAATATTAAAAATTATTCACGTATCAATATATATATATATATATATATATATATATATAATCAAATATATTTTAATTATATTAAATAATAGTTCATATTCTACAAATTATAAATTATTCTATATAAGTTGTTTAATAATATTTTTAATATTATATATAAATTTTTAATATTATTTATTAAATTTAAAATTGTTAAATTAAAATTTATTTTATTATATATTTTTTATTAAAAATTATTTATTTGAAAAATATAAAAAAAAGAGAAAAAATATATAAGTTAAAAAATGATAAAGAAAAATATATAAAAATAAAAAGATGATTATTTAAAGTTGCGGGAATGAAAGTAGAAAGATGAGAGAAAAAAATATAAAAATATAAGAATAAGAAAAGACCGTAAATCAAAAGTTATATAAAAAAATAAAAATTATATTCTAGTTATTATTTAAAAAAATAAAAAAATAATAATTATTTTTTATTATTTAATTTTTAAGTTTTAAGTTTTTTATAATTATTTTATTATTATTTAATTTTAATTTTTTTATAATTATATATATATATATATAATCATAATTTTGAAAAAAATGTAGGTACCATATCCCATGAGAAAATAAAAAATAAAAAATTATAAACATAAGAAATAATATTTATTATAATTATTATTTTTATAAAAATACAATAATTATTTTTTTTAATTTAAAGAGGTACTAAGACAAAGTTGTTAGTTTTTCTAATGTTCTGTCCCCAACGCATTCTTTGATTAACGCCGTGTTATATATATATATTTTAATTTAAACAATTTTACTTGCTATTTTTTTTTCTTTATTTATAAAATAAAATATTATAACATCTTTAAATTTAAAAATATAGTTTTTATAAAAATAAAATATTTTAATTTTTTATTTATCTTATATTAATTTAAAATAATAATTATTTTATTATATTTTATATTATTTATATTTTATTTTATTAAAATATCATTATTATCAATTTTATTATTTTTTTTTAAATTATACCTCGACCTATCTTAAAATCTTAAATCATGTTTACATTGTTTTAGTAAATAATTCAGTTTTAGAAACATAACGTTCAAGTAAAAAATAATAATATAAAAATAAAATGATCATAAATAGAGTAGGTGGAAAGAGGTTGGTAATTATGAAAGACAACTGTTTAAGAGCAATGGTTAAGCAGCTAACGTGGTGTGGGTTCACCAAATACCATCGGTAGATGATTCATCACACTGCATAAATGAATACGGAGACCAAGTCTTAGAGCAGCGCCATCAATCAATCTGAAATCAAATAGTGTTAAAGACTACACCTTTGCTCTGCTTGCTCAAACTATCCTTAACAACTTCATCACCAGGTTCCTGCTCCTTCTTTTTGTTCTATATTCACATTTGATACGTTTTTATTCTTTAAACTTTTACATGCATTAGGTTTCCATTTTTCAAATTAGAAAAAAATTGTTTTAGTTTTTGACTGTGCTTAATTTTAGAAATTTTAAAAATTGTTTTAGTTTTTAAGAGATTGAGAAACCGTTTCATCTACTTTATTCATTAAGAATAAACTTAAACAAGTTGAGTCAAATATACATAAGACTGAAAATATTAATGAGTTTCTTTTATTTTTATTTCTGTAAATTTAGTATTATGTCAAAATAGAATATTTACTTAAGGAGCGATTTCTCTCTCTCTATATATATAATTATTACAAAAAGGTAGAACATAAAAAGTTAAAGTAAGTTTGAACTTAATTTCACATCACATGTTTTCAATTCAAAGCATTCCTCACGAGACTATTCTCCGTATGCTGTCTTTCTCCATGTGTTTTTGGGATGCAAGTACTTGAAGATGCTTTTTGAAACATTCTGACAAACAGTGAAATAAATAAAATAAAAAAATTAGATAAAAAAACATGTTTACAGTGCAGGAGGAAGTAGGTGTGATTGAGAAGATAAAAGAGAAAATCTAGTAATAAAAAAAGAAAAAAATGTGGAGGTTAAAGATAGGAGATGGAGGAAAGGATCCATACTTATTTAGCACAAATAATTTTGTGGGGAGGCAAACATGGGAGTTTGATTCAGAGGCAGGCAGTGGCAAGGAGAGAGAGGAAGTTGAGGCAGCTCGGGACAACTTCTATGAAAATCGGTTCCAGGTGAAGGCTTGTGGTGATCGACTTTGGCGTTTTCAGGTATTTCTTACTCTTTCCTCTTATTATTTGCTTAATGCCCACTACTCCATGCTCGGATGCCAATGCAGGGGTTAGACCGGTACGAATCTTTACAACTGATTTTTTCAACGAAATAATAAATCAATATGAAAGAAAATAGAAAAGAATAAAAAGATAAAAAAATAAAAAAATAAAATTATAAATATATAATTAAATATATAATTAAATATATTAAATAATTTTTAAATTAAAAAAAATAAAATTATAAATTATATAAAAATAATAAAATTATAAAATTATAAATATATGAACAAATATATTAAATATTGATTAAATTTGAAACAAACAACATAATGAATTAGAATTACAAAAGGAATGGCAATATCTTCAGCGCCACTCGCTCCACCTCACGTTTTAACTGTCAAATGTTGGTTCACCGACATGTACAAATTAATGTAACTTGAATATCATTATTCCTTTCGCATAAATACCACCCCACATGTTATAAGGGTTTGTTTGTATAATTTAATTTCAAAATATTTTTTTATCATTTTTATTTTAAAAACTAATTTAATCATTCCATAAAATCTATTCCACGTATAAAGATTATGATCCTCCAACAATAACATAGATTATAAGAATATAATAACATAAAAAGATAATTTTTTTCACAATAGATATTTAATAAGAATACTTTTTTTAATATCTTTATCACTAATTTATCTTTTTACTTTTTTTTTTATATTTTCTGATAGTTTAATATGAAAAAAAATTATGACAAAAGACATAATTTTATTTTTTTTATTAATTAATATTTATTAAATTTATTATAATAAGTTTTTATTTTATTTTATTTTTGATTTATAATAATTTTTTTCATAATCAATATATTCTTATATTTTATTAAATTAAATTTAAGTTGATGATTATATTTGATACAAGTAACGTGATAGAATTAATTTAATTAATTAATTTTAACATTTTTTTATTAATTTTAAAATCAATTTAATATATTAGTATAATATTTTGTTTAGATTTTGAGGGAAAATAATTTCAAACAAAGAATAGCAAAGGTGGAGATAGAAGAGGGTGAAAGAATAACGTGCGAGAAAACAACGATCACACTGAAGAGGGCTGCTTCTTACCTTTCCGCACTACAAACCAGTGATGGCCATTGGCCTGCTCATCTTGCAGGTTCCCTCTTCTTTACTCCTGCATTGGTAAGTTAATCTCATTCAAAATACATACTATTTCTTTTTATCCTTTTTTTATTTTAAATTAGTTATTAAATAAAAATATAATCATAAAATTAGCATGCTGTAATCAAATTTGTTTATTCAAGTCATAATGTAATAAATTATGTTTAGGGGAGAATATTTTGATTTTGTATGTGTTTAAACTTTACTATAATGTTAATTGTTATTTTTCCCATAACAATATTGCAGGTCATTTGTTTATACATAACAGGACATCTCGATTCTGTATTTTCAGAAGAATATCGTAAAGAAATTCTTCGTTACACATATTGTCACCAGGTATATACTTAATTTAAAATATATCAAATTGATTATACATGACGAAGACGAAATAAAAGATGACTGCATATATAATCACCCCTTTAAGTTACATATATATATAGGTATCTGATTGTCTTGTAACCATTGAATTTGATGAGCATCTAATATTAATTTGTAACCATTTGAAGAACGAAGACGGAGGTTGGGGACTGCACATAGAAAGCCACAGCACCATGTTTTGTACTACACTGAATTATATATGTATGCGAATTCTTGGAGAAGAACCCAATGGAGGTCAAAACAATGCTTGTGCTAAAGCAAGAAAGTGGATTCATGATCATGGTGGCGTCACGCAGATACCTTCATGGGGAAAATTTTGGCTTTCAGTATGAATATTTTTATATAACATTTATTAAATACATATTATGCATGTATGTTACTAATTAAAAAAAATAAAATAATCAAATCTTATATGCTTGTAGGTACTTGGTGTGGTTGATTGGTGTGGAAGCAACCCAATGCCTCCGGAATTTTGGATCCTTCCTTCATTTCTTCCTATGCATCCGGGTTAAATTAATTAATTTTGATTTCTTGCAGTGAATATAAGATGTCTATTTTTTAAATTCAATATTTATTTTATCTCATTTTTCAATCTTATCAATGCAGGTAAAATGTGGTGTTACTGTCGGTTGGTATACATGCCTATGTCTTATCTATACGGGAAGAGATTTATGGGTCCAATCACACCCTTGATAGAAAATTTGAGAGAAGAACTCTTTATTCAACCTTATGATAAAAATATTTGGAAGAAAGCGCGACATTCATGTGCAAATGTAAGGTACCCAGTTATTAACTAGCAAATCTACGTTGTCTATATTTAGGAAAATAAATTATATTGTAAAAATAATATAAATTAATTCAACACAATATGTAAAATAAATAGATTAGAAGGAGAAAAGGCATTTGATATTATTTAAAAAATATTTTTACATAATTAATTTTGAAAAATGAAAATCACATGTTTCGTTAAAAAAGATAATTCAAAAATAATAAACTCTAACTTAATACATATGCACACATGAATTATTGATTACGTAATATGCATGAGTTTAAATTCTTGATGACAAAAAGATAATTTTTCGTTTTATAAATTAATTGCAGGAAGATCTTTACTATCCTCATCATTGGATACAAGATCTAATATGGGATAGTTTATATGTATTCACCGAACCACTTCTAAATCGATGGCCTTTGAACAAGTTAGTGAGAGAAAAAGCACTTCAAGTAACAATGAAGCATGTCCATTATGAAGATGAAAATAGTCGATATATTGCTATTGGGTGTGTGGAAAAGGTAAACATCTTTTTAGTATGATGGTATAAATGAATTTTTTAGGCTTTCCTCTATGAAGGCCATTCATTAAAAAATATGCCAATATCTTGTAGGTTTTGTGCATGCTTGCTTGTTGGGTAGAAGATCCAAATGGAGATGCTTTCAAGAAGCATCTTGCAAGGCTCCCAGATTGTTTATGGGTTTCAGAAGATGGAATGACCATGCAGGTACATATATTGAGGGTTGCTAATTTTATCAGTAAAGGTAACTGATGCATGATAATGGTTGATAAAGGTAAAAGGATGATAGATTAATTAATGTATTTGCTTATATAATGCAGGGTATTGGAACCCAGTCATGGGATGCTGGTTTCATTGTTCAAGCTCTACTTGCTACTAACCTAATAGATGACTTTGGTCAAACATTTGCAAAAGCACACGATTTCATCAAGAAATCTCAGGTATATTTTGGACAATAGTTTTCATTAAAAGAATGACCAACCAATTTAATAATGAAGCCTATTACTAACTGCTCATTACTTCATACTAACAAAATTGTACCAGTTCAATTCAAAAACACGATTCTATTCAATGTTCAATATTTTAGTACTGTCTGCTAGTTTTATCAAGCACAGAAGAATTGACATTCTAATTTTACAGGTAACGGAAAATCCTTCAGGAGATTTTAAGAGTATGTATCGTCACATTTGTAAAGGGTCGTGGACCCTTGCAGATAAAGACCATGCATGGCAAGTTTCTGACACCACTGCAGAATGTTTGAAGGTAGTTAGTTAACTAATTATAAGGTCACACACGTTTTATTTTGTTAAAAAGCTTCATGAAGGAAAAAAGACAAGCACACATCTTAACCTAACGAATTAATTATCCTATTTTTCAGTCTTGTCTACTTCTGTCAATGTTGCCAGAAGAGATTGTGGGAGAAAAAATGGAACCTGAAAAGTTGTATGATTCAGTCAATTTCATATTGTCACTTCAGGTTTGTATCATAAATTTATGATCACATGCTTTCAATTGATTAATTAGGTAATTAATTTCCTCGTAGACATTTTTTTACACAAATTGAATTGTAAAATTTAATTACTATAGAGTGCAAATGGAGGTGTGGCTGCATGGGAGCCAGCAAGAGCTCAGGAATGGTTAGAAGTAAGTGTTATATGAGTTAATGTTGGCATGTGCATGATTCAATATTATGAAGAAACTTTTGTTATCTAATTTGAAGGGATTAATTAACTTTGTTATTACTTTGAAGCTACTCAACCCTACGGAATTCTTTGCTGACATAGTGGTGGAGCATGAATATGTTGAATGCACTGCAGCAGCAATTCAAGCTTTAGTGTTGTTCAAAAAGCTTTATCCAGAGCATAGGAAGGAAGAGATAGAGAGTTTCATTGCTAAAGCAGTACCATTCATTGAAAATTCACAATTAGAGGATGGTTCTTGGTATGGAAACTGGGCGGTGTGCTTCACTTACTGCTCCTGGTTTGCAATTGGAGGTTTAGTTGCTGCTGGCAAGAGTTACAAAACTTGTGTTGCCATTCGTAAAGGTGTGGAATTTCTTCTTAAAAAACAAAATGAGGATGGTGGATGGGGAGAGAGTTACCTTTCTTGCCCGAGGAAGGTTTGTAATCAAACGTAACACTTTCCTTCGACTTTAATGTTGATGATAAATAGTGTTATTAACAGTTTTCTAATGAATCAATGTGTGTACATTTGTGATGAAGGTGTATGTACCTCTTGAAGGAGGTCGATCAAATGTTGTACAAACATCTTGGGCTCTAATGGCTCTAATTCTTGCTCAACAGGTATTCTTCTTATGTGCATGTGTACGAGACACTTTTCATTGCATCGTGTTTATATTCACTATATATCCAAAACAAATATTAATACATATTTTTCTTCTTCCTTTTCAATTTTTTTTTTTTTTTTAGGCTGAAAGAGACCCAACACCCCTTCATCGTGCAGCAAAGTTACTCATCAATTCTCAGTTAGAAGATGGTGATTGGCCCCAACAAGTACCTTCCAAATCTCAACACTTGGAATTCTTTGAATTCGATAATATGACTATTATTAATAAAAATTAATTATTTGTTCATCAAGTCAACATAATAATAATAATAATAATAATAATAATAATAATAATAATAATAATAATAATCAATTAAGTATAAAATAATAAAGATTTTTATAAATAAAATACATATCAAACATATAATATAATATTATTTTTAATATAAAATTTTAAGATATGAAATTATAAATATTTTTTATTTATAAATTATTTAATTTTCTCATTTTTTTTACTCAATATTCATGTTTGATTATCAATGGACAATCTAGATTATTAGAAAAGATACATTCAGAGAACATGTTTAACATTTTGATCTATGTAATATATAGAACTTTTCAATTTTCAATTTTAGTACATGAAACAATTTATTGTTAGATTTGGTATGTGCTATTTGTTTTTTCAACGTTCTTGAAGTTACCATTTCAATTCCTATAAAATCATAAACTTTTGTTTAAACATCCTCCTTATATTGAATTTTTTTTTAATTTTAGTCTTTTACTATTTATAATATATTAGAATCATATTCGAATAATAGTTGTTTTATTAATAAATAATGAAATAATATAAAAAAATTTAAAATTTTTAAAAATATAACATATATATAATAATATATTTTAATATTTATTAAAAACCATTAAAAATTTATAAATATATAAATAAATATAATAACCATTAAATTGAGGATTAAAATTATAAATATACGAAAATAAATATATTTAATAATAATTAAATTAAAGATCAAAATTATAAATATATTCCAAAATTTCATCAACTCTTTATACCTGATAAAAAGATTCGTGAGATATGACAGAGAGTGCAGTGAAAATAAATAAGGAAAAATAATAAGTTATAAAAGAAAATTACCTGCAAATAACATTGTTAATTTTTTTAATAATATGTTTTAGTTGTGTTTTGTATTTGATTATAAATTGATAAGTTGAAATGATGTTTTATTTTGAACTTTGTTTGTGACTTATTATGGCAGGAAACCCTTGGAGTATACTTGAGGAATTGCTTGGTTCATTACCCATTTTACAGAAATGTTTTCCCAATGTGGGCTTTGGCTGAATATCGTAGAAATGTTCTATTGCCTTCCACTACTATTTAAATTTAACTCGTTTGTTATTATGAATTTTGTTTTATACCAATGAAAGTGCTTCGCGGCCCAAGACAAGGCTCATTTCAAATAAATAGGTCGTTTTAGATTTTGTTTTTGGTGTACATGCTCTTTTTACATCTGCCCAAGTTATAGTGTTCTTCTGGAACAAAACATAACAAAAATATTTTTATAATAATTAAATACATTTTTAATATAACATATTAAGTAATAAACTAATATAATATGTTTTAGAAATACAAACCTTAAAAACCAAAAAATAAATAAATAAAGAGTGTAGAAAAAATTATCCCTTAAAAAAATGTTCCAAGCAATTAGCCTACCATCACCCCACAGCCCAATGCCAAATTTGACATTCTTCACGAAATAATACAATTATTGTTTTATTTTAAATAGGATATAATTATAATATCTTAATTAAATTTTAGTATTATTTTCCAATGAATACTTAAGTTTTATTTCAACCATCAACATTGACTTTTATTGATATATTACTAATATAAAATTTTAAAACAAAAGATGTATTTATTGAGAATTTAAGTATGAATTTAAAGTCTTACTTTCAGTAAAAATGAAAAAAATTAAATAATTTATAAGAAAAAAATTCATAACCTATTTTACGATTATGATTTTTGGTTGAAATTGATTTCATATTTTTTTTTATATATTCACTCATGAGGAAGGTTCGGAAATACCAAAATGGGTTATCATGTTAGTTCTTTACTCGTTTTCGTTCCTGAAATTTGCTAGCAACGATGACGTTCAATGGTGCACAATGCAGCCTTACTCTAGCCTCAGTCAACAACTGCGGCTACTTAAATTTGAAATTCTACACGCGTTTTTTTTTTTTTCATAAACAGTATTCTAGATTTAGAACTCTCTCTTATTACCAATAAATCATTAGTCCAAGAAAAGAAAGACATAATTAAGAAGAAAATCCAGTAAAAGTGATGTATTAAATTGTTTGACAGAGATTAATGATGTAAACCAGAGTCTCTTTGGCAATGTGTCAGGAAACTTCCTGTTTGCATGATGATTAGGAAAGTCAAAGATAGAGAACAAAATGAATTAAGAGAAAGATTATGTTATAATGTTATGTGATTATTTAGTGAATAAAAACTCGGATTAATTAGTATGGAAAAGGTCCATATAAACTGATATATACTACTATGTTTTGTGGTATAGTTTTCAGTTTTATGTCAATAAAAAAAGGAAAAATGTTATGATTCCTAATAGTTACTAAAGGGGAATCAAAATTTCAAGTCACGATGGTAATAGTAAGATCATATGATTACTTGACTAATTGAGGCCTCTATTGAATAGACAGCTCACGAGCAACACAAAGTCCAACATAACTTTTGATTGTTAACTGCACGATAGCACGGTTTACGAAAACATCACAACATTGTGCAAACGCTAAATTCACAGTTCTGCACACCAAGTGTTGAGCACTAATATTATGGGATTCCTAAGTTACTCTAGTTTGATAAATGCTTCGTTCATAGCATTTTGTATCATTTTCCTGGGTTTGACCTCTGGCAGTGACACCCTGACATCTTCTCAATCCATCAGAGACTCAGAGATAGTAACCTCAAACGACAGTGCCTTCATACTTGGTTTCTTCAGCCCTCAAAATTCAACGCACCGCTATGTGGGAATCTGGTATCTCTCCGACTCTAACGTCGTATGGATAGCTAATAGAGACCAACCACCCCTTGATTCTTCTGGGGTTTTGAAAATCTCCGTAGATGGTAACCTGATTCTAGTTGATGGAAAAAACCGTGTTATTTGGTCGTCCAATGTGTCAAACACTGAAAAAATGAACTCCACAGCTCAACTTTCCCGTTCTGGGAATCTAGTGTTGAAAGATGACTCCACGGGACAGACCATATGGGAGAGTTTCAAACATCCTTGTGATGCAGCAGTGCCAACCATGAGGATAAGTGCCAACAGAATCACAGGTGAGAAAATACAGTTTGTGTCAACGAAAAGTGCTTCTGATCCTTCTACTGGCTACTTCTCTGCTTCTCTTGAACGTTTGCAAGCTCCAGAGGTGTTTCTATGGATTAATGGAACTCGTCCTTTTTGGAGGACTGGTCCATGGAATGGTAGAATCTTCATTGGGACACCATTGATGTCAACTGGATATCTTTATGGATGGAGTGTAGGGTATGAAGGGAACGAAATTGTTTATCTTACTTACAGTTTTGCTGACCCATCTTCGTTTGGAATCCTTACCTTGACTCCACAAGGAAAGATTAAATTGGTAAGGTATTATAACAAAACGCAGGGGTTGACTTTGAATATAGGAATTTCTGATTGCGATGTTTATGGAACATGTGGGGCATTTGGAAGCTGTAATGGACAGAGTTCACCAATATGTAGCTGTTTGAGTGGATATGAGGCAAGGAATCCAGAGGAGTGGAGAAGGAAAAATTGGACTAGTGGGTGTGAGAGAAAGGTGCCACTCCAGTGTGACAGGTCGAGCAATGGGAGTGAAACTGTGCAACCAGATAAATTTTTGAAACTTGAAACAATGAAAGTTCCAGATTTTGCGGAGAGATTAGATGTTGAGGAAGGCCAATGTGGAACACAGTGCTTGAAGAACTGCTCTTGTTTGGCGTATGCATATGATGCTGGCATTGGATGCTTGTATTGGACCAAAGACTTAGTTGATTTGCAAAAGTTCCAAACTGCAGGGGTTGATCTCTACATCCGTCTTGCCCATTCAGAATTTCAATCCAGTATGGTATTTTTATCGTTCTTTGATTGTGTTTATCCTTAACAAGTTATAGAATCTATTCTTCCAATTTATTTTTTATGTTAGTCTGATTCTGGGTCACTTTTCTTTTAAACTTTTTGCAGTTAATGCACAAGAGCATACTAATAAAAGAAGAGACAAGAGATTAATCATTGGAATTACTGTGGCAACTGGTGGAGCAATCACCATGGCCATCTGTGCTTATCTAGCCATTCGTATATTTCACTCTCGTAAGGGAACTGCTAAAGATTCGGGTAATCAATCCTTAAACACAACCTACTGAATTATGAAAACTTATATCTAAGAAGAATAATTAGTGCTGCTTTTTGTTATATGTGCTTCTAGCTGTGATGTCAACCATTTGACACAAAACAATTTACAACAACTCTGAATTCGGAAGCTTCAATATTGTAGATTATTGCTATATGATTGTTGGTATCCTACAGTATTAGACAATATGGATCTGATTATCTAGAGGAAATATGATAAAAAGGTCGTTATATTACCAATTTAGCAGGACATATTTTGTGGCATAAAGGCATTGTGGAAAGAATTTATCTGATGGCCAATGATCTAATATAATAGGAAAGAGTAAGATGAATATTGATCTCTATTCATATTTAATAGATTTTACATAACGACTGACATATTTTAAATGGTTCTCCATGTGTGGTATTTAATTTTTTATTAGTTAATATAATGTAGAGATGGGAAGAATAATAATTGTTACCTTATTCTTGCCAAAAATCTAATACATTGGGAACATATACAGAAAATCAGAGTCAAACAGTGACGGTCCAGAAACCAGGTAAACTGGATGAGCTACCGCTATTTGATTTTGAAATCGTTGCAAATGCTACAAACAGTTTTCACTTGGCTAATACGCTTGGAAAGGGTGGTTTTGGTCCAGTGTACAAGGTAATATTTTGCCTAGTGGCCTTCATATCACGTATTTCTAAAACTTGAAATTTAATTTTGCTCAATTTCTCTTGTTAGGGACTATTGCCAGATGGTCAGGAAATTGCAGTGAAAAGACTCTCCAGAGCATCTGCACAAGGTCTAGAAGAATTTATGAACGAAGTGATGGTGATTTCTAAGCTTCAACATCGCAATCTTGTAAAACTTCTTGGCTGCTGTATTGAAGGAGACGAAAAGATGCTCATCTATGAGTTCATGCCAAATAAAAGTTTAGATGCATTCATCTTTGGTTAGTTTATGTATCTATATAATTCACCTTCCAAACATTCAGGTCACTCAACATTAGTAAAATGAAATATGAACAATTTATTCAGATCAAATTCTTTTCATTTTCAGATCCACTCAGGCGGAAACTTCTAGACTGGAAAAAACGTTTTACTATAATTGAAGGAGTTGCTCGGGGCTTACTCTATCTCCATAGAGATTCTAGATTAAAAATTATACATAGAGATTTGAAGGCAAGCAATATCTTGCTAGATGCAGATATGAATCCAAAAATATCAGACTTTGGTTTGGCTAGAATATATAAAGGCGAGGATGAAGTTAATACCAAGAGGGTTGTTGGCACATAGTAAGAATGCTCTAGAGAACTTAAATATTATTAGCATAATGTTTGCTTTGAGAATTAACTTTTATCTGATCTGAATAAACAAACAGTGGCTACATGTCCCCTGAATATGCGATGGAAGGATTGTTTTCTGAGAAATCAGATGTATACAGCTTTGGAGTTTTGTTACTAGAGATTATTAGTGGAAAAAGAAACACTAGTTTTCGTAATGATGACCACTCTCTCAGCCTCATAGGATATGTAAGTCTCTTCCCACCTCACAGCCTTCTTATTTGCATATAGCCTTTGTATGCTTGCTAATATTTCCATTCATTTTTACTTAGGCGTGGAATCTATGGAACGAAAACAATATTAGCTTTTTGGTGGATCCAGAGATATCAGCTTCAGAATCCGAGAATCAAATTTTGAGGTGCATTCACATAGCATTTCTTTGTGTGCAAGAAGTTGCAAAAACTAGACCAACCATGACTACTGTGCTTCCAATGCTTAATAGTGAGATTTCCCATCTCCCTCCTCCTAGGCAAGTTGCATTTGTTCAGAAGCAAAGTTCCTCAAGTTTAGAGTCTTCTTCTCAAGAAAATCATTGTAACTCCAACAACCACGTAACTCTTACTGAGATCCAAGGCAGATAACAATATGGAATCATTTTCACCGTAAAAATTGCTGCCATTCTATACGATGAAGATATCAAATAGATGACTGTTAAGTTATATATATATATATATCTACTAGCAATCTTATTTTATAGATCATCAAAAACCCTTCAATATGTTAGAAGTGAGAACTAGGGTATTTGAATTTTCTGGATTTCTGGACTTCTAATATAACAGTAATTCTTTGATGATAGATTTTAATAAAACTAACTGGAAGTAGTGCGTAATTACGGATATGCTCAATTACATCAATTAAAATCTGGTTGCTGAAAAATCTAGAATAAAAAACACTTTATATTAGAAGCCCTATGGAAAGAATAAATGACAATGGATCAAATCTGAAATGGTAGAAAAGAAAGTGGTCAATATTGGCGGTTAAGATACAGATGAAAAGTCAGAAGCCAAACCTTTAAACTGCTAAACGTGTTATCAATCAGTGCCATAATTATGTCATGGAAACTTCCATGTAACATATTTCCAACCATGACTGAGAACATTCTTTTTCTCAACTGAATATTTTATCAAGTCTACTGTGTTATGATCTTGACCGGATTAGTAATCATATTCTTTCTTTATTCTGCTTCAAGAGGTCCTATGCAAAGATAGTTGTCAGCAAGTGGTTGTCATCGATTCAATATTGTAGTTAAAAAACATGAAAACCAAGCGCAAAGGGTCTTGTTGCCTAAGTTGAGTTTCTATTGAATGCTATATGTGGTTTTATAAAAGGATTTACTTCTTCAAGAAAATGAAGTTATTATATGATCCATTGTGGGTTGAAAATTATTACATGTACATACGGTGATAACTTCAGTCTATAGTAGATAGAAGCTAAGGTAATTGTTATATTATATAACTAATAAGGTTAGATTCTTCTACATATCTAATTCCATTTTCTTTCCATAAAGATCTTAGTCAGAGAGAGTGAATTGCAGGCATATACTCTGTTCCTGAAGTACATATTTGTGTAGGAATATAGTCTTGAGTTTCTTACTGATAATTTATCACAATTCATGTTAGGCTAGGTGGCTTGTGGTCTTCTGAGTCACTTTTTCCTACTCTTTGCCCATTATAAGACTTCTTTTCTAAATGATGCTTTAATATTAGAGCAACAAATTGTACATCAAAATTGTTTTAAAAGCCTTCACAATGCATACAGATATAGATTATAGAACATGAATTGGATTGAAACATGCTACCATGATATTAAAGCAAACAATTATTTATTAAACATGAAGCTTTTTCCCTAAAAGATATACATTTAAATGAGTATACATTTTTTGGGATCATTAAAGTGAGCCATGATGATTATTATTACTATATGTTTTGGTGCTTAGCCTCGGTAAGCAAAGGAAAGCATCAGCTATACCTGGTGCTTAAGCTGAAACCATAAGAATCCTTCACAACGGACATACTCATAAAGACCACAATTTCAGTCAAAAGAATCCTCTCACCAACGTGATTATTGGATAAAAAAATCGATAATTTAATATGATGTAATTCAAACGAAATAAATTGGCTACATTTTTGTTACGATTAGGTGAAATCTAACCTAAGTTAATTTAATGAGACCTAGTATAATTTGACCAAAATTATTGAATAATAATAATAATAATAATAATAATAATAATAATAATAATATAACTATTGTTTAATTAAAATATATGTTTGCATATATTTTAACGTTTGATGTTTATAAATTAAAATATATGTTTACAAATATTTATTGTATTATTATTGTAGAAGTTTTTAAATAGATTATATCAACATTTTTGAATGTTTTCAGAAGTTAAAAACAAATTCTAAAAAGAATATATAACATTTTTATTTTCGAACAAATGAATTCTAGAATTTCAATTTATAAAAATTAGGTGTGTGTTTGTAAAGGCCTACTATTTGCATAAGTCCGAATGGTAAAGGTCCAAGTAAAACTAATATATTCGAATTGGCCCGGTATATATGGATCTGGCTTGTTTACTGGGCCAGCTGTTCTAAACCGGTTGTTCGGAAAAAGCCTCGCTAGGAAGATTAAAACTAAGACACTATTAAGGCCCTATATATAAAATCTCTAATTGACATGATTTTTCTTTTTTAAGGTAAAACTTATATATTATATTTTGACACGGTTGCTCAATACAAAACAACAAATGTTATTGGTTCCAATTAGATTAACACAAATAATTAAGGATTTAGAATGAACTCTTTTCTGTATAAGTTTGTATTTCCTAGGTGGTAATTAGAAGTATTTTTCAGGCACTCAAGAAGGATATTTTCTTAAAAAGAAAAATCATCATCCCATCACTTTCGTCGTAATGACTTAAAAACGATACCTTCACATAATTCTTTTGTTGAAGAATGCTTTTTTTAAAGCATTGTGAATGAATGATGTTGTATTATAAAATTTATAAGCCACACTTTATACCGACAGCTACATTACTTGCGATTGTATGTTACTATATATAACGTGACACTTGAATCTCAAGAAAGGAACAAAATCGTTGGCCGAAGAATCCCATAGATGTCTTGAGTTTCATGCACGAAATTCTGAAAGCGATCAAAGTACAAATTTAAATGAAAGGTTTCAGAGGTAGGTAGGTCCAATGTTATCCTTCATGAATTCACACCAATATATAAAGCACGTTTCATTTGCTTCTTCCATCAAACACTAGTTACCCTCACACAATGGATCATCCTACCTCATGGTCTGCACAAGCAGCCAAGCCAAAACGTGCAAACCTTCTCCGTTACATTGCCATGCTAATACTAGCCTTGATCATCCTTGTGGGTATAGCTGTGATCATAGTTTGGTTGGTTTTGAAGCCCAAAAAGTTGGAGTACAGTGTGGAGAATGCTGCAATCCACAACTTCAACTTAACGGATGCAAACCACCTCTATGCAAACTTTGATTTCAGCATAAGATCATACAATCCAAATTCTAGAGTCTCAATATACTATGACACTGTTGAGGTGTCAGTGCGTTATGAGGACCAAACTCTAGCCACCAATGCTGTTCAGCCATTCTTCCAGTCACACAAAAATGTCACCAGGCTGCATGTGGGCCTCACGGCCCAAACTGTGGCCCTGTATGAGTCCGTGCCTAAGGACCTTAAGCTTGAGAAATCCTCCGGGGATATTGAGTTAGATGTGTTGGTGAGGGCAAGGATAAGGTTCAAGGTTGGGTCGTGGAAGTCAAAGCATCGAGTTTTGAGGATATTTTGTTCTCCTGTCTTGGTGCATTTCTCTAAAGCCAAGAGTTTCGAAAGGGTCTCTTGTGAAGTAGAACTCTAAACAACCACGCCAAATGGTCAAGGATTACATGTTCCCTCTAGTACCCTTTTGAATCTATTTATTATTGTTTGTTCTTTTTTGGTTTTGTAATTTTTCTGTCCTTACTTTTTTTTATTGTTATTGTTAATTGACGTAATGATTCTTTCTCAGTGTTGTTGTAATTTTTTTCTGCTGGCTTGTTAATTGGTTTTGGTTTTCCTATGTTGAAAAAATCGTTGTGTGGGTACACCAAAGGGAAAATTGGTTGCAATCCATCCAATTGATGCATAATATTGTAACTTGAAAGCATTGCCTGTGTCGTCCTTCAAAGTTATACAATTTTTAATGGGGTATTGCGTAGTGATACTTGACCAGATTGGTTTTCTGGTTTTGTCAAGTTTATATTTTAACAAAGTCATGAAGAAATCAAGCTACTCCCTACTATTCATTTTCATTCTTTATTTTCTTTTGATCTAATGGTGAAATTAGATTAAAAGAAAATAATATTTTAATTGCAGGATTCTTTCGCATTGACTTTTGGTGAATGCATATGTTCCTACGCTGTGGTGTAGAAGTAGATCCTCCCATTTTGAGGTTTGCTTTGTCGATGGGAAAAATTCAAAACAACTGTTTGATTATTCAACGGTTCCTCTTCTATGGAAACTTCTCATTTTGGACTGTCATGCTCCAATTAGAACTTCTCGCGTTTGAATTCTTCGGGCGGAACAAGGTGGATTTCGTGTGCGTGACTTGGCGACTGTAATTTCGACTATGGATATCCCATTCAATAAGAAAATGGTTGTGCAGTATTATGGCAGCAAACTAATGTTTTGAGAGACGATCATGGTTGAAAAAAGTAGGGAAAGAAATTTTACTTGATGACGTAAAATGATAATTAAAAAAAATAAAAAATTACAGTGTAATGCAACCTTACAAATCCATCAAGTAAAAATCTGAGAATAAGATACGCACGAGTCTTTGCATACAAATAGAGCATCAATCTCTATCAGGATTGGCGTGTCAGTGAAGAAACATGTTACATGGAGAAATATGAAGGCACACAGCCAATAAATTTAAGCAGTGAGCTTGAGGGTCGAGGGAGGACTTGTTCATATTCCAACTCCAAACTTACTTTTCTTCAAAATTAGCTGAATGAATGATCACGCGAAAATATATCAACATATTCACAGAGCCTTTCTTATTACCCAAATGCCAGGTCAAGTGTATCTAGGTCTATGACTTGTGCCTAAGATTTTTTTTTCTTTTGGCTCAAAAAATGGAAATAATTATTAAGTTTTATATGTTCAACTCTTGAATAAAATTTCACAAATGGTGCTCTAACTTTATACATATTAAGAGTTCATGATACACTCGCAATTGGTTCAGGTCGTGGGGTTCATTAGAAACATGTTACACGTTTTTCTCATTCTGACAAACTTGTACATAAGTTTTGGCACTGCCTTAGACACCATTACAGTGTCCCAATTCATGTCAGACCCTGAAACTGTGACCTCTAATGACGGTGCATTCAAGCTAGGATTCTTCAGCCCTGGAAACACATCAAATCGCTATGTGGGAATTTGGTATCTCACTGAATCCAATGTCATATGGGTGGCCAACAGAGACCAACCGCTAGAGGATTCTTCAGGGGTTTTCACCATATCTGATGACAGAAACCTTGTGGTACTCAATAGAGAAAAGCATGTTCTTTGGTCATCAAATGTCTCGAACAATGAGTCCAATTGCACTGCCCAACTTCTAAATACTGGAAACCTTGTCTTGCTGGATAACCTTACAAGCAAGACAATATGGGAGAGTTTCAAACACCCCTCTGACACATTCCTCCCAAATATGATAATTATCAGCAACCAAGTGACAGGGGAGAAAGTCAAAGTTACTTCATGGAAAAGCCCTTCCGATCCAGCCGTTGGAACCTTTTCGGGCAGCCTTGAGCGTCTCAGTGTCCCTGAAGTGTTTGTTTGGAATCAAACACAACCGTACTGGCGCTCAGGTCCATGGAATGGTCAGGTTTTTATTGGTTTAGCCAGGATGTATACTTCTGCATATCTGAATGGATTCAGTGTAGCAAGGGAAGATAATGGAACTGTCAGTATAACCTACACTTTGCCAAATCATTCTTTCTTCGGAACCATTGCCTTGAGTTCAGAAGGCAGGCTGGTTTACAGCTCCTGGATGAACAGACAACTAGTTGGGAAGCGGGTAATTTACAACAGTAACTGCGATATCTATGGCTTCTGCGGCGCTTATGGAAGCTGTGATTCCGATAAGGTGCCAATATGCAGCTGTTTGAGAGGTTTTGAGCCGAAAAACCGCGGGGAATGGGATAAGCAGAACTGGACAAGTGGATGTGTGAGAAGGGACGTACTGAAGTGTGAGAGAAGTGAAGCCAGCACAGGAGATGGGTTTGTGAAACTGCAGATGTCTAAGGTGCCAGATTTTGCACACCAGTCATCTGTTTCTGTTGACACATGCAGAACTGAGTGCCTGAATAAATGCTCCTGTACAGCATTTGCATATGACGCTGCCATTGGCTGTATGTCTTGGAGTGACGAGTTAATTGACATAGTAAGGTTCTCAAGTGGAGGAGTTGATCTTTACATCCGCCAAGCTCATTCAGAACTCAGTAAGTACAAACAAGTTTTGTTTCTCTAATGTGTTTACAATCAGATCTTTATAAATAATTTATTCTTCAACTTCTACTCCAATATCCAGATTCTGTAGTGAATGTGTTAATTGTTATACAATGTAGATGGGGGGAGAAACATGACATCTATTATCATAGTTACAGTGATAGTAGGAACACTTCTTGTTGCTACTTGTGCATATTTTTATTGGAGATGGACATCCAAGCGTTCTGGTATGTTTGCTTGTTCAGTTATAGTCCCTTCGATGTTTTTTAAATTCTTGGCTATAATACTTTGTTGACTGTCTTTCTTTTTTAGTGACAAACTTAATCTAGTTAGATGTCCTTTTTCCTTCTGTCAATTCATTTTTTCTATGCCATGGGGCTGTTGCATTGATTTTGGTTCGTGTCCATGATATCAGCAAGAACGGAAAGACAACCATCGTTGGTGCTGAGCCCGAGGGAAACCCATCAAGAAAACCGAAGTGCAGGTCTTAGTGGAGAGCTGAAACAAGTTAAAATCCAGGACCTGCCAATATTTAATTTTGAAAACATTGCAACTTCAACAAATCACTTCAATTTAGCTAATAAGCTTGGCCAGGGTGGTTTTGGTTCAGTGTACAAGGTACCGTAGTCATGCGAGATTTGATTCTATCAATACTATGTGCAAATTAAAATTTCCTTCAAATTTTCTTATAGGGAGAATTACATGATGGGCAAGCAGTAGCAGTGAAAAGACTTTCAAGAGCATCTAGACAGGGGACAGAAGAATTTATGAATGAAGTGACAGTAATTTCAAAACTTCAACACCGTAATCTTGTAAGACTCCTAGGTTGCTGTATTGAAGGAGAGGAGAAGATGTTGATCTTTGAGTACATGCCGAATAAAAGTTTGGACTTTTATCTATTTGGTTAGTCCACCTTTATTTCTTATCTATGCTAAGGACAAACATGAAACAAAAAATTTACCTTCCTACTTGAAATATTTCACTACTCGATAATCAAAAGATAAAATCTTCTCCTATTCATATTCATCTTGCTTCCTTAAGATTACCTAACATTTTATTATTTCTGCAGATACAGCCAAAAAGTCAGTTTTAGATTGGCAGAAAAGATTCAGTATAATTGAAGGAATCTCACGAGGTTTGCTTTATCTCCATAGAGATTCTAGATTAAGGATAATACATAGAGACCTGAAGCCAAGTAATATATTGTTGGATGGACAACTGAATCCAAAAATATCTGATTTTGGTATGGCCAAAATCTTTGGAGGTAGCGAAGATGAGGCCAATACTAGAAGGGTTATGGGAACATAGTGAGTGTACCTTCTTTTTATCCATGTTCATATTTTCATGCCAAGGGCCATGAATAATAGCTAACCTTCATCTTGAAATTAAAATGCAGCGGCTACATGTCCCCTGAATATGCAATGGAAGGTCTATTTTCAGAGAAATCAGATGTCTTCAGCTTCGGAGTTCTGCTGTTAGAGATAATTAGTGGTAGAAAAAACTCAAGTTTTCGAAATGACGAGGAGTCACTCTTGGGATACGTAAGCCTTTTCAAGTTCATTCCTAGTTTGATTCATAAATCTCTACTTTCTTCTGCTACTACTTACAAGTTACAAACAACAAATAACAATGGCAGCATTTATTTGTCATTTTGTTTGTTCAAGGCATGGAAACTCTGGAATGAAGAAGAGATAGAATCTCTGATTGATCCAGAAATATTTAATCCAGATTATGTCAATCACATATCGAGATGCATACACATTGGACTTCTATGTGTGCAAGAGTTAGCAAAGGAGAGGCCCATTATGGCCACTGTGGTGTCAATGCTCAATAGTGAGATTGTTAATTTTCCTCCTCCGCGGCAACCTGCGTTCATCCAAAGACAAATTGAGTTGAGAGGAGAATCCTCTCAGCAGAGTCACCAATCAAACTCCATCAACAATGTCACTGTCACAAACTTGCAAGGCAGATAAAGCTTATGTTAACATGTCATGGTTGAAATAGCAGCACTGCTCACTGGTATAAGCCAACATTGTCAATTAAATTATACTACCATGTCTTTCTCTTACAATGAAGATAATAAAGTTTGAACATAACTGTGAAACATTATGTAATTTTCCTACGTTTTTAATTTATTATGGAAAACTACTCTACAGGATCTTTAGATTATTGATTTTCACAACATAACATACATGAATTATAATAAGAGAACTAACCTTGTTCCATGAAAATTTATTCTTAAATCTTCTCGTTCTCCAATCTCCTTTTCCCAATCTATCTCTTTGTCTTTCTTTCTCTTCTCACGCTTTCTTGATGGTTTACCGTGAAAAAACCTTATGACCAGAGACAGAACCCTTATTCCATTTTATT